CTTGTTTCTTTTCTTTTTCCTCTAAGAATTGCTGTAATTTCTCTTCTTGTTTATTTTGCTGTTCGAGCTGCCACTGTTGCTGGTTTTCTTGCAACTGTTGTTGTCTCTCTTCTTGTTTCTTTTCTTTTTCCTCTAAGAATTGCTGTAATTTCTCTTCTTGTTTTTTTTGTTGTTCAAGCTGCCACTGTTGCATGTTTTCTTGCAACTGTTGTTGTCTCTCTTCTTGTTTCTTTTCTTTTTCCTCTAAGAATTGCTGTAATTTCACTTCTTGTTTATTTTTGTTGTTCAAGCTGCCACTGTTGCATGTTTTCTTGCAACTGCTGTTGTCTCTCTTCGTGTTTCTTTTGCTGTTCTTGTATTGCTGCCATTAAGTCTGCTTAGCTGTAGTTTGATTTGCGGCTTCTCGTTTCCATTTTTTTTTCTCTCCCACTCTCTGACACCAATTTGTTACATCTCCGTTTGTTAACTGATTTTCCGTAACTTCGTTCCGACGAAACTTTAGCGACACAAGTCCTTACTTGATAAAACTGGTTTATTATTTCTGAATATAACTTTACCGATACACTTATTTTCAACAGTCGCTCTATAACAAACGTTTTAACAACGAACGTTAACTTCAACAATACTTTCTGACTGTAGTTCAATTACTCACTACCTACACACATTATCCCGTCACGCCGTGACCATCTTATATATATACCAGACCACCCCCAAACTAGCAAATGCTAGAGCACTCCCGGAGGAACAGGATAGTTCTAGAAACGTGGCATGACACTAGTCACGTGACCTCGCTGACGCAACAATACTTTCAAACTGTCTTACTTATAATGATTAGAATACACTGTTTCTTCAGATAAGGATCTTTGCTTTTAATGATATTTTCGGTCATAAACCTACTAATATCTTACGAGGTCTAGGAAAATTAAATTTGTACTAAAAACATATAATAAGCTAACAAGGCATATTAATTATTATAATACAAATATAGTTTAACTTAATACAACGTAGAATAGTCGTTATAATAAAATAAGAAATATAAAAATAATTTTAGAAATAGTACAACTGATATATATATTAAAGAGGCCAACATTCGCGGGTAAATGCAACATATCTCCGCCACGCGTTCCCAACATGGCCAATTTTGACACCAGAAAATTCGTGAAAAACACAATCAATTGCAAACTCTATGTCACTGCTTGGGACCTGAAAGAAGGTATCTTTGTATCAAATCCCATATGAGTTGGTTGACATACACATGAATAGTTCACGAAAACCTCAAATTGTACTTCCCTCACTGAAAAGTTAAGCAAAATATAAAAATTACAAAATTGTCTATATATTTGGTTAGGACCTGCAAAGAGTATCTTTGTACATAATTCCATGTAAACTGGTCGAAATTCGACGGAGTAATTGTAAAAAAACCCTAAAATTATGCTTTTTGTGCATCTTGACCCTCCCTGTAATAACTAAAAATGGTTAAGTCCATCATTTTTGTTTGTAAACGTGTAAATTCTATGTAAAATGGTCAAAATTTGGCCGAGTATTTAACCGAAACTCCCAAAATTGTGCTTTTTGTGTGACCTCTAACCCCCTAAAAAGACTAAAAATGTCCAAATCGAACTTTTTTTTATGTTAATGTGTTATGCGCCTAAAATTATAAATGTGCCATTTTTAATCTGGATTGCTGTAAATATGACCGCATAAGAGCCCAACATATACATTTGTGGGTTGTTTGACAATTGACTCCATACAAATAGAA